GCATGCCATTTCAGTTCTCAAACTGTAAAAAAGAGCAACTGTTGAGTTTCTTGCCGGTTTCTTCTCAACAGAAACTGCTTTCCGAACCGGTGGTAACTTACGAACGTGTTAATTTCTTGTAAAATTTTGACGTTTCATAAGAACGCGCAAGCGTCTATGTGAATAAAGATATTATTATTATGGGGGATATTCATTTGTTTTCTCGTCTGGTTGGGTTTATAAATAAAAATAAAAATATAGATATATATTGCATATATATAAAATAAATATTATGGATAAAAATAAACATATATATATATATAAATAAATAAATATTTTACATAATACATATATAAATAGGACCCAACCAGACGGAAGCCCTCGGCAGGGGAGACCAAACGGCCGAGGGTTAGGGCAAAAGGGTGAGAAACCGACGGACGATGCGGGCGGTATCCAGGAGCAGCGCCTTCTGCATTTGAGCTTGGAGCGATCCATCCCGGAGTCCCAGTCGCCTCAGATGTTTAGAGAGGCTGACTGGGATTAACCCATTGGCAGAAACGACTATCGGGATAATTTCGGTCGGCACACCACTCCACATGTCGGTCACCTCGTGAGCCAGGTCCAGATACTTTGTCTTCTTATCTGTTTCGGCTTTCACAAGGTTTTCGTCATATGGAATGGTAATGTCGACGAAAAATACCCGCGACTGTGCCCGGTCTATCACCACGATATCAGGTTTGTTCACGACAATCGTCCTGTCCGTGATGATGGGCCGGTCCCAACAGAGCCTGTCGCGGTCATTTTCGAGCACGGCTTCCGGATAGTACTTGTAGTACGGCAGTTTTCGATCCACGAGGCCGTATTTCAGAGCGAGTTCCTGGTGTAGAATTCTGGCTACTAGGTTCTGTCTATGCAGATACTCAGAGTTAGAAAGCATGGAACAACCGGAGATAAAATGCCGAAGCGACTCCCTGGGATGGCGACAAGCTCGACAAATGTCGACGGTGCCATCCTTTAGGATGTATCTCCTATAGTTGTTCGTCTTAATAACCTGATCCTGTATCGCACAGACAAAACCTTCGGTTACCCCAAAGAGATCACCGAAACGTAGCCAGTTATGGGAGGCAACAGTATCTACGAAAGGCTCGTGTAGAGCCTTGTTATTATTATTATTGTTGGGGATATTTATTTGTTTTCTCGTCTGGTTGGGTTTATAGATAAAAATTAAACATATTGCATATATAAAATAAATATTATGAATAAAAATAAATATATAGATATAAATATATAATAATACAATATTAAATATTATATACAATACATATATATTTATTATTATGTTGGGGATATTTATTTGTTTTCTCGTCTGGTTGGGTTTATAGATAAAAAAATGGTTGGAGGGATATTCATTTGTTTTCTCGTCTGGTTGGGTTTATAAATAAAAATAAAGATAAAAATGGTTTATTATTATTATTATAAACTGTCATCCTTTAAGCCAGATAGCTATTATATACTCTCCAGATATATATTAAAAAATTGCTGTAAAAATAATGTAAGACATCAATATAAACATATTTTATGTCTTACGAGAAAGACAAGTAGGTGTTAAGACGTGGAGTATTATTTGCTACTCACAATAATCCGACGTCAGATCGCACTTATACATAATCCCTGACCCAAGGTTTTCTTTCCGAGCCAAGTCTAATATCAAGGTGAGTGCTCATGACATTAGGTGACGTCGTTTCACTTATATCTTTTCTTCAATAAAAACTTGTGCGTTAGAAACAAAGAAGATAATTCTGAGCAAACAAGTATTGGATATGTCAACTCATCAAGCTCGTATTTTTATAACAAAAGCAACGTTCCATGATTTTACAATGAACGTAGACTTAGTTTTCTTGAAAAATGTACCCGATGCGAATCACGTATTTTAACTATTTCTCGCCTTCACACTATTTAAGGGCACCAGCAGTAACTACATTCAACGTTTAAACAAAATATTACAAAAAGAAATTCTGATGTATGTACCTTATTGGGTGACCCACTGTGTACATGAGTTTCCCATGTACATCCCCTGTATAAAATTACATAGCTGTGGTAAACAGGTAATTAGTTAACACATACTAGTTATTTTGCAGACGTAAGGCCGCTGTGACCTACAAGAAAAAACAAATCTTCTCTGCACTTTTTCCACTCTACTAATTTACTCAAGTCTAGTACTACTAGTCTACTAGTTAGTAGAATGACTTTCAAGAGAAGTTACTTTTACAAAAGAAAAAAATTAACTTTGATTGAACTTACTGTAAATTAATTAAGCACAATATATAAATAAGTAGCGATTAATAATTGGGTTACGGGTCAACGCCCAGCTGAGCCTCGTAACGTGGTATAATTCCAACACAGCCTCCACCGGTCATTAGGTCAACAAATATTTAGATCCGCGTAGTACTATAATAAAAATATACTAAAGTTATTCCAAAGTTAATGAGTACAGTTGTAATGAAACGATCAATTTGTAGGACAGTAATTATTTAAATGTGACTTCAAATCCGTACAAATATGTATAATTATGTAAATAGCCATTTATTTGTTACTTCTCTGTTATAGGAACCTACCTCATTACGAAACGGCAGTAGACTTAAACAAATGACTACTACACGGGTTTTTTTTATCAATGTACTTACTACTACCGTTTGTAATTTTGAACAATGTATATAAAAGACAATCAATGTGGCAATCAGCCGTTTAGCTTAGTGGCTAAAGTGTCAGGCCGCGAATGCCGTAGACGCGGGTTTGATTCTCGCAACAGCCACAAACTTTTCATAAATTTTAACAGCTCGTTTAACTCGTGTAACTGATGAACCCGCAAGGTTCCTCCAAGAGTTCCTCCATTCACAACAGTTTAGTTTCCCACCGACGTTAATTATTTCAAAGTTACAACAATACAATTTGTATATTTATGTAAGAACTAGCTGATCCGGCAAACGTTGTTTTGCGGAATTTCATGAAATCCGTTCTTAGCAGACCTCCAGTCGGCGAATGGAATATGCCTACCAAATTTCAAGTCTTTACGCCTTATGTATGGTTCCAGAGATATTGTGATGTCAGAGTCAATTATCGGTGGAAATCTCTTATATACATATATACATATATATATATATATATATATATATATATATATATATATATATATATATATATATATATATATCTAATTGTTAATGGAAAACATGCTAATTGTTAATTAACATGTTCTCCTCTTTTAAATTTGAATATTAATATTTTGTAATATTAGAATATGATATTGTAGTATTCAGTGAGACGAAACTTGGTTGAATATACATAATACGTATAAAAGTAAATGACTTGTTTTACAATTTCGTACTAACCTTTCTGCTAGTGCCTTGGTACCTTTGAAACGAGTATCAAAATTTAAGTATCTAGGTCATTGGGTCACAAAGGACCTCCCAGATAACGCCGATGTTGCAAGAGAGAAGAGGGCGTTAGCTGTAAGGGGCAATATTTCGGTCCGTAGGTTTGCTCACAGGTACAAAGAAGTGAAAATAACTGTTTCCAAATCATAGCGCTTTTCCTTTTATATAGGTATGCAGAATTTGGACATGATTATTCCACACAGAAATCAGTCAGGACTTTTGGGTCCAATAAGTCCGGCAGGTTATTTTACAGAAGAAGACCTTTGTTGATGTTCCGCTTTAAAAGAAGCCCCGGAAACATATTCAACGCCTTAACATACGAGTGGTATAATCCAACTGCAAGCTAGTGGAAAAATATTCGTCTTGAATGGTTTTTTTGTTAACAGTAAAAAGTTATTTTCGCTATTCTTATATGTATTTTTTATATTAAGGCAAGGGTTAGGGTCTCTAATAAATTTGTTGTCATTATCATTAAGTACGATAAGTTTTTTACTTATAATACTCATAACATAATAATAGAAAAGTACAGCCTATACATATTCCACTGCTGGGCAAAGACCTCCTCTCCACAAAGGGTATTAGTGTATAGTCCACTATGCATCCCCACTGCGGATTGGCGGACTTCACATATCTTCGAAATATTTTTTGTCATTGTTTCGAATATATGCAAATTTTTACTGAGCACATGATAAGTCAGCACTTAAAATTAACAATTTCATTGGTTTCGACACCGGGGATCGAACTCAGGTTGGTCGAGTATATAAAATTAACACTGGGCTAACACGGCTCAATAATATAATAATTAGGTTAAAATTTAATTTATTTACATACATAAATGCATACAGCCGTGATAGCTCCAGGCGTCCGGGTGTCCGGGCGCTCGCCTTTAATTTAATATGCTCGAGCAACCTGAGTTCGATCCTCGGTGTCTGCACCACTAAAATTTTCAATTTTAAGTGCTGAAATATCAATTGCTCAGCGGCGAAGGAAAACATCTCGAGGAAACCTGCATATTTTAGAAATAACAACAAAAAAAAATGTTTCGAAGATATGTGAAGTCCGCCAATCCGCAGTGGGGCCGCGTGGTGAACTATGCCCTGTCATACTATGTACAGAGGTGGCCTCTGCCCAGCAGTGGGACATGTATAGGTTAATACTTTACTTTACTTTAACATAAATGCATAGGTTTGAGGAGAGATTCGAGACTCAAAAACCGGCCAAGTAAGAGTCGGACTCACGCACGAAGGGTTCCGGAACATTATCTATAAGAACGGAAAAAAATAAAGTCTTTTGTATGGAAGCATCACTTTAATTTTTCGTCATGAGAAACACAAAATTGGCAAGGGGTGTGAGAAAATGCGAAATTGAAACTTATTTTTTATTAAGTTATTTGTACCATACTGATAATTTCTAGTACAGAAATAACTTTTATTTATGCACTATAGAAATATTAAAGGTACGAAATGTTAAAATATTAAAACAAGAAACTTCGTATTTGATGAATTTTTTTTAAATTTTGTACTTGATTATCTCTATTTTACTGAGAGACGAGGATGAAATCGGTCTTAATTCTGGTATGGCGTCTTATAGGCACGCCATATTCACGGCCATTTCCCAAAGGGGGTGTCTGAGTGTACTTAGGGTGAATCGATGGGGCAGCGGGGGTACGGGTGGACGGTGCGGGGGTGTGCGCGCGCTATCCGCACCGCAGTGCTCCTCACACCGTAGAGTGTAGTGCGGTGCGTCCTCGACCGCCGGCTTGCCCTTCCTCCCGTCACACCGGCAGTCGTATGCAGTCTCCGTCGAGAACACTACAGCAGTTCCCACCGGAAATCGAAAAGTAAGTGCCATCTTTGCACCAAAAACTTCCGTAGCCCGCTACGCCGTAGCAGACGAACTTCCAATTTAAAACTACGAGTATCGGCGCCGGTGCGTCTACCAGCGGTTTTTTTTTGTTGTTGTTGGACATTGTTATTGAAAGAAAACAATGTTGTAGGATTTTTTTCAGATTCCTTGGCCACAATGTTCTGTATTTATACAGTTCACTTATATAACATGAAACATGACATTAACGCGACAATATCATTTATCTGCAAGAAACATCGTCACGTTAATATTGTTGAATGAGTACTCTTTAAAAAGTGAATAAATAGTATCATTATCAAAGTTTAATCGATATAATTTCGATTTTATGACTTACTTTTAATAAAACTTCTGATTACTATGCGACTGCAGTGGACTTGAAAATTTCTTGACTGCAGTTGAAAAAATTATTTCACACAGTGTCAAGACTTTTATTTACGAGCCAGAAGTTTGCTTCCAACGTACGCTGCAGTTTTTAATGTGCCAGTCTCTTGTCTTGTGACCGCCGGAATTGCGTTAAACTGCGTTAATGATAATATGTGTTATTGATTAGCGTCCGCGAATGTCTAGAGGGGGTGCGGCTGGTGACCTTGAAACGCCCGTAAGCCGGCGTAGCGCCTACCCCCGACCTTGACTCCTAAACTCCAGAGCGCACTACATGTCATTGCGAACCATCATAGAACAGCGCTTTTGCCGCGAGCTAAAATGCTACGATTAAACTTTTTAAAATTATTGTCATTGTCACGAACGAAAAAGGATCTTTTCATGTTTTTCTGTAAAAATTTGGTCGGAAATCCGTACAAAACAGGCGTTACCTAGATGGCGCTGTAACAAATGGCCTGTGCAAAACGTGTTTTACACATATAAGCAAGGGTATTCTTAAACCCGTTCACCAAAGTGTTTTAAGACCTGTGCCATAACTGACTTATTGTTTACAACTATTTTCTGTATTTTTCTGTCTATCTGCTGCAAGTATTGGCAATAACCTGCATATTTTTTCGGCGGCTATCTTGGAAATGATTTTGGTCATACAAATAATATATTGTTTTTAAAAATCAAACGAACATGTTTAAATTTGTTTATAAAAGTAAGTATACTTTTATAAACAAATTTAAACATGTTCGTTTGATTTGCCAATTTTATGTCCGTTGTTCACGCTAAGTCTTTAGGTGTCACTTAAGCGGTGGAAGACGAAACTACCACTTAAATTTGTTTAGGTGCTCCTTAAAGTTAGGGATCGATGGTGAAAACTGTCATTAATCTCTTATCTTTTTTAATTTTAAATAAGATCTAAATTTGCCGTTCTTCATGAGATAGATGCAAATACCCTATAGCTTGATAGTTATAATTCCAATAACGGTTATCACAATTTTCTACAGTTCTGTTTTACATAAAGGGCTGCCAATCTATACACTTTTTATCTAAGTGTTAATTTGATATTATTTGTTTTCTATGGACGATTGTGATTTCGGAATGTTGTCTTTCAGCGCAATATTGCCTGTTAATGTAATGATAAACGAGTCCTTCAAAACATAAAACTATTGATTTTATGGGGAGGCCACGCGATTGTGGTTATCGCAGTAGAACTGGCAGGGTACGAGGCGAGGATATGTCCTTGAGACTTTTGCAGGTAAACGGCTACGAGTGAGATTTGCGTTTATTCCGAGTTTGTTATTGCTTTTTGTAATGGACAACGTCTGAACGATTTCCGTTCACTACGCATCATCGTTTGTTTTACCAACATTCCGGCGTCATTGTCGTTGTAATTTTTTTAGTGTGGTTAACCTTTTTTCGGCACTTAAAAATGTTTGACTATGCGTCTAACTTGCGTAACTTTTTCACACAGAAAACCCGGACAAGGGAAAGCCTTGGTAATAACCAATCATCATCATCATCATTTCAGCCTGTTTGAGTCCACTGCTGAACATAGGCCTCCCCCACAGACTGCCAACAATGCAACGATATGTTTACTGTGCGTACATTTTGGTTGCAAAACTGCACAGGTATAAAGTAAATACCTAATATATCGTGAGGTTTTCGGGAGTGTCCATGTATGTTGAAAAGGTTCAGTTGTCAATAATTTGGAAGCAGTGTCTAAAGTAATTTTAGTTCAATATTGGGGTGGCAGAGATAGCTATTACAATTAACGTCTTATGTAACCTTTTAAATAATAATAAATGGCATGTTTTTAAACCAATTTCTGGCATCGTCTTTTTTATTAATAAACATTAAAATCATACTGCCGTGAAAAACTAAAGCTTTAACTAACTTAAGTAAAGCCTTAACTAAATAAAATAACTTTCAACGCGGATCGCATGGGGAAATTTTAATTATATTTTAAGCGAAAATGGCCTTGGCTTCGAAGTTAACTTGACTAAAAATAGTTAGACTTAGGGGCAATGTGCCAAACAACCTTGTCGTATATCTCAGATAGTATTTCGTAATATTTTGGACACTGTATATCATCAACCTTCAAACCTTTTTTTCAAAGAGTACTATTATACACTTCTTACATTATTGACAAACACTCAGGCTGATTAAAAATTTCTTCCTTATAGAATTTAAATCGCGTCCATTAAAAATGATTTGAGCTAATATTGCGATTGGCTTCATCTGTCACAATTGGTAAGCTAAGGAGCGGAACAAGCTGCCGGCGTCCGTCGATAATAAAGTATGCGTCTTCGAGGCAAGAGCTTTTTAATAGGATTGTTTATCAGGTGGGATGGCAGTCAAGCGCTGGTTTCGCGTAAAAAAAATATCACACATAAATCTGAATTGCTTAATCGAACCGAGATGTTTAAACCCGCATATTGATTGCGATAAAAACGGATCGTAACCCCATTGGCCAACACTTATTAGAGCTTCTAGGTCAGTTCACTTATTTCGTTCTGTGGCTGTCCCACTTTCTGTTTGTCCAAACCACGACCCGCCCTTTCATTCAGGCCACGTGCAATTTCCCCAACCACCGTTAGGGTCCCGCGTTCGACAAAATATGTATTTTACCTTATTTGTATTTTATATATTATGTTGTTTAATATTTCAGTAACTCCGTTTGAGGGATCCATAGCTGGAAAGTATGTGAGCACGCCAACATTCGACCTATGTGATCGCATGTTCCAACACTTGCAATGAAAAAAATGGTTTTAACATTATTCGTTTTTTATTGAGTGCAAATGAGCCTTATATCTTTTGTTTGCTTTTTTTTAAGTAACTAATTTGTATATTTTGTAGTATATGGCATCGTCTCTAAATAAAAGAATTAAATAAAAAATACTTCAATTAGTTTTCGTCGAGTCAAACATTGATATAAGATCATCGTCGCTTATGAATCTCAACGTATTTATCTACTTTGTTTTTCTTTTATTCCAAGCAATTCTTATTTCCTTTTATGGATAACCACCGATTTTAATATGCAATATTGAAAATCTGAAAACTGAAAATAACATTAAATTTCAGTAAATCGTGCTATATATTATTATGCTAATGTCTCGGTAAATTATATATTACGCAACCAATGCGCACGTATCCCCATATACGAACGAACTTGCAGCCACTCGTAGTTGATTCATTTTATTTAGCGTAACAGAAGGAAATCGCAGATTTTGTAAGGCTATTTTATACGTTGCTCATAAATTTATTTTTTTATTCAATATGTGTCTTTTGGGGTTCCGTACACAAAGGGGTAAACGGGACCCTATTAAGACTCCGTTGTCTGTGTGTCTGTGCGTCTGGCACCAGGCTGTATCTGTGCTGTAACGTGTCAGTTAGACAGTTGAAATTTTCACAGACGATGTATTTCTGTCGTTGCTATAACAAAAAATACAAAAAAAACAAAAAAAATATTCAAATGGGACTCTCGCATAACATACATAATTTGCCATTTTTTGCAGTTTTCATAGATAGTGTTACGAAATCCTTCGTGCGACTCACACTCACACGGTTCATGAGGCACAGCCTCGTGACAGACAGACAGATAACCAGCCAGACAAACTGACAGACAGACTGATAGACATAGCGGAGTTTTGATAATAGGGTCCCATTCTACCCTTTGTGTACGGAACCTTAAAAAGCGTTACTCCAAATAAGCAGCTTTGTTCAGCGAACAGCGTTGAAAATTAATCTACAATTTACTAAAAAAAACACTTGTTAAATGACCATTTCTGTAATACCAAAATATAAGAAGCGTTTAAATAGTACTCTTAAAAAAAAAGGCTTGAAGGTTCCGTTTATAGAAGCCAGTACAATACACTCCAGGGGCGTCTACGAAATTGAATAAGACAACGGGGCGACGAGGGGGGCTAGTCGAGCGCACATAATTCTATTTGGAACCGAAGCCAACAGTGATATAGCGTGATGTGATTTAGTCCTACAAAATTTCTAAACTTATGTCTAAGTTGCCTTTGAAGTGAACTCCAAAGGGTCCATTTTTAGGGTTCCGCACTGAAAGGGTAAAATGGGACTCCGCCGTCTGTCTCTCTGTCCGTCCCTCTGTCACCAGGCTGTATGTCATGATCCGTGAGAAGTTTAAATTTTCACAGATGATCCATTTCTATTGCCACTGTGACAACAAATACTAAAGAACAGAATAAAAAATATTTGAATGGATATAAGTGTTTCATACAACAGATAACTAACAGACACAAGTTTTTGCCGTTTTTAAAGATAATGATACTGAACGCTTCGTGCGCGAGTTCGATTTTTTTTTATATGATATATATATATATATATATATATATATATATATATATATATATATATATATATATATATATCATATATATATATATATATATATTTTATATATATATATATATATATATATATATATATATATATATATATATATATATATATATGTTATAAAACTATGCCTTATTCTATCGGTGTTAGAGTATTCCTTCTTTGTTTATTTCTTAGAAGTGTAATATTATCACAAAACGACATCATTTAGTTCATTCATTTGCAAGTAACATAAATTCAATACCAAC